GTGGTGACTATCGTCCAAAAATCTGATTGGTCAGTAGATGGTGAACTCTTACCTGCAACATAACCTGGAGCAGCTTTGGTCTGTAGCATTAGTTACCATGGTGACATAACCCCGAAAAGACAGAGTTAAACCCGAAGTAAGCTTGATAACTACAGATCCCTAAAAGCATTCATGTTTTCTCATGGATGAGTTTAATGTCTTTCAAAGATATTAGTGTCACATAGTTGGAATAAATCTGAGTGAAAGATGGTGTTTAGTTAGCCTCAGCAGGCAAAGTCTCCCCTTCCTCAGGATCCAGTTTCAGGTGAGCGAGAGACTATCTTCCCTCCATGTTGAATAAGATGCACTCAGCAGGTATGTCAGGGTTTGTGCCAGATCACTCATGTGGCGTAGGCCCAGCTGTGGGATGTGGAATGATCAAGATGAGCTGGGCTGTGACGTTAACAAACTCTTGTTTTTATTTATCCTGCAGCATTTTTCTCTCCTTTGATTTTCTTTGACAGAAAATGGTCTTACTGTTGAGAGAAGCAGGTGATGATGGATTTTTTTTTTACCACAGGAAGGAAGTGAAGTGGAGTTTTCTTTGTGAATGTTGGAAAAACAGCAGCAGATATTAGAGTGACATTTTATAGTGATTTTATATGTATGAGTGAAGCAAAGTTTAAGTGTTTGATATGTTAACCTTCTGTATTGCGACACTGTGCAGGCATAATAAAGTTTATCTGTGAAATCTCTCATCTCATTTTCATGATGGAGAACAATCTACTATGCTTTTCCTCTTTCCTGTGTTGTACAATAGACTGATCTCATTTCCATAAACTCTTGTTATATAATGTGATGCAGAGGGTGTATTCTATTATGATCGTGTCAGACAGAAGTCCGCCCACCTGCTGTTCAAACCTTCTGATTGTGAGGGGTAACCAACCAGAACAAAAGTTGTCCTCCTGGGGGAGGAGTGAAACAGCTTGTTTCGGACAGAAAGACAGATACAGGCCCATTATCTGAGACTCTGGTTACACCTCCTTCAGATGGAAGCAGATGAAAAGAAATTCATGAAAAAAAAAATCTAATTTGTTCCAATTTTATGAAACACCAAAGACAAAAATGGTAAGGAAGGGTCCAATACTCTGATTAAATAACCTGGGGCAATGTATTTGAAGTTGTTTGGAGATGATTTCTAGTCATATTAGACATTGTTATTTAAATGGCTGGAGGATGAGCAGTGTGAATATCATGTTCAGGGTTTAAGCAGAGAAGCTGCTGAATGTGATCTGAGGGCATCTGTGTGACTGTGGTGCTGCAAAGGACCAGCAGGTGGAAGCAGAAACCAGTAAAAACGGCAAATAGAACCCGAGAAACAGTCTTTGTTTTCAAACAAAGTCTTTATTGTATTTTGTTTTGAGAAAAAAAACACAATACAGACTATATGAACCAAAATAAATACAATACCAGATTATTAAGCATGCAAAGATAGTTAGGAATCGTCAACATGTTTTCTCAGTAATATTTAAAAATAAATGATAATTATGTCACATACAGTGGGGCAAAAAAGTATTTAGTCAGCCACCGATTGTGCAAGTTCCCCCACTTAAAATGATGACAGAGGTCAGTAATTTGCA